TAAATTAGGAAATTTCATTTTTCAACGATTTACGTCGAGAAAGGTCGATTTTGGAACTTCGTCCCTAAGGTTTCGTAAGCTTGAAAACGGTACAAATAACTTGTATTCGACGTCCTAAAGACGACTATCATTTTGATATCATAAATTACAAAGTTCCGTTTGAAACGGGATGTTTTCGTTCTCTTGGTCGCCCCTTTTCTCTTAAGGGCGCCACTGGATTTTTGTCCTCAGTATCCAGAACTGGACCAGAACATGGAGTGCTAGGTCAGGGTCGTGAGAGATTAGTTGAAAGGAACTAAGATCAAAATACAGAATTTCGTTTAACAAAAATTATTTATTTATCCAATCCCCCTTATAATTGTGATATGGCCAGTATAACAATATATAAAACTTCCGGGATACCAATCCACATTCACACTCACACTCATTCAGTATATTTCTCGCTGTCCAGCTAGACCCTCACGTGGCTGTAGTACCCGATGCCTACTGGACTCTCACGATACTCTATCTACTTCACGTCGTCCCCTGGACCTCTAACGCTACTCTAACTTAGTTCGCGCGGTCTCACGGACTCTCACGCCGCTGAGCTGGACCTCTGACGTGACTACACACGTTGTCCACACAGCGCACGCTGTCCCCCAAACTTCACGCTACTCTGAGAGAACTACCCAAGGCTGGATAGTCTCTTTACGCTCACACAAACACACTCTAAACTAATTCCCAATAACAATAATAATAAGAGCGCTCGAATTACAAAACAAAACATTTTCCATAATATTAATTACCTAATTAACAATTCCTTAATAAATTTCGGTTATCATTTCCGAATTATAAAATATAAATAACAAATTCCTATTATCTAAATTACTGCCGCATCTCTATTACTCAACAGTAATTATGTAAATTCCAATTTTAAAATAGCCAGGACTAAATCCATTTTATCCGATTAATTTATTAATTCAATTTTTAATCTTTCTCAATTCCTGGTTGAGTAAACTTAGATTTCGTACATTATTTAATCCGATACAAATTAATTTATTCCGAAGCATTTATTTTATCCAGTAATCGGCAATACGTTTTACTAAATTCATTTCCGACACAAAAGTAAAATTTTGACAAAAGATTATCCTATTGTATTTATTTTATGTTTCTTAAAACTTAATATTTTATTTTACTCGAATTTATTCTATTGCAATGACTAAGAGACTTAGCTACGACCTTGTGTGTCCTCTACTCAGCATTTTCTCGCACGGACAAGATGGCTGACGCTCTCGCTCGGTCTAGCGTCTTTGTCGCAGAACTCATGTTATTTTTTTTGATGAAATTTTTTTTTACACATTTTTATATTCTCTATTTTCTTGACTAATTAATCTAGATTTACAATTCTATTGTTTTAAACGATTATTTCCTGAATCTACTATAAATTTTAGTTAAGACAATTATTAATTTTGTGCGCCAAATACTTTATACAAATAACTTCGGATCGGAATAAATTTTAACTTAATTTATCGTACTTTTGCGGTTTACTCAATTCTATTTTCTATTGGCTTAAGCCAAATTATTGTTTAAAAATTCTCAAATAAATAAATTTTACACCTGGCGAAAATCTGGAATTAATAACCCGACTTGATGCCTAGTATTATCAACCCAGACAGGCCTGGGTGTAAAATACGTAATCACAGAGACATCTTACTTTGCTAAACAAATTAATTAATAACCCTAGTGCTATTAATTATTTGTCTTATAATTTTTCTAATATTAATATTAATCTTAATTAAATAATATAACGACTAGCGATTGTGACCGAACGCGAAATGGCGGTGACCTTCAGCCGACGTGTTGCCTGGCTGACGCCGCCGACCCGAGAAATAAAATCAGACCTGATAATTGTACCTGGAGTTTTACGCTTTATTAATTTCCTACTCGTGCACTCCCTCGACGAGCTACAACTCCTTTTTCCAGGCTGGTGTAAGTTTTTCCTTGGAATAAATCCTCGGCAATTATCTCCTCGGGTTACTGCTTGGCAGCGAAAAATCCGGTCACCGTCACTCGTGCTCTGGATATTTCTCTTGAACCTGTAACCGCAAATCGGCATTAGAATATTTTACAAATTAAAATTAATTTACGCAAGCTGACAGGCGGCCTAGCAAGCAATAAATCAATTAATTTTTCATCGCTTCGTTCCACTTTAAGGTGAGCGAAATAAAATAATTACCTGTGTTCAGTTCTTACTAAAGTTGCGATGCGTTCAACGAGATTCCTCGGTCACAATGAGTCTTCTCGGTCTTGTCGTTGTATTTCTTTCTTCACCCTGCCTTCCCCACTCTCTCTCTCTAGGCGCCAGCGCTTCCCCCTCGGGGACTTACTCACTAACTTACAGCTAGAGGCACAAGTACTTAAGAACACAGCGCTCTGGGGAATCAGTCGATAACTAACTCACGGATCGGGAACCTTCTCTGGGTAAAGAAGGCCCCGTGTACTCCGTTACAAATTCAATTAAATTTATAAAAGTATGCAATTTTTCATCAATGTTTCTTTATGACGTTATCACGTGAAACTATCATCCGTAAACCGATTTTACAGATAACCAATTTATTACTGCTCCGAAACCCTTGTAAAGATCAATTCCATAATCTAATCAGCTCTTCTACTCTAAAAATAACATTAATTGGCGCGAGTTAAATCAAAATGGGTTGATTTGTTCGAGAAATTGCTGTCCAAATTTTGTTAAAATGTTGCTAACGAGTAGGGATATTTTTGATCGCTTTGAGCTTAAAAATAACAAGAAGTTCCAGGGATGGCCCGCAGGTTAAACCTTCTTTTCAATTTTTAAATTCCTGCTTTTAAAAATAGGGAAGTTATGGTTTTTACCTCGTTTTTCGAAAATCGAGTTTTCATCACAGGAAAGCCGTTCTATTGAGCTCGAAGAGCTTAATGACTTTGAGGGATATTTTACAGCGTTTTGAGCTCGAAAATAGTGCGAAGTTGTAGGAATAGCCTGCAAGGGTCAAGCTGTTTCGTGATTTTTTTTTTATGGTACTACAATTCTATAATATAGTTAGAGAAAAAACAAATGACCAAAATTAGAATAATTACTATTTTTATCTTCATATGTTTTTGTTTGTGATTATTTTCATTGCCATTAAAATTGATGAAACAAAAGTCATCATTACTGGCAATCAACGTTTGATTGAAAATAAGTATTTTATTGAAATATTTAATTATTTTCTAATTATTCGAGTGAATAATAAAATATTTGATTGTGTTCAATTTGACGGGGTTGAAAAATGGGAGATTACTCACAACAAGAATATGCCGAAATGGTAATTTTTTACGGCCGAGCTAATTGTAACGCCAATGAAGCTGTACGCCTTTATCGTGCGCGATTTCCAAATGCTCGACAACCTTCAGCTCATGTTATTCTCGGAGCCATCGCGCGTCTCAGAGAAACCGGAAGTGTTTTACCGAATCATCGTACGGCTGGGGCACCGAGAAACGTGCGAAATCCTCAAAATGAACAGCGAATCATTGAACGTGCTGAAGAAAATCCTGGGATCGGCATTCGCGGTATAAAGTTACGCACTGGATTATTATATGGCACCGTTCAACGCACTATAAAATGCGAAAAACTCCATGCGTACCATTATACTCGAGTTAATGCACTTCAACCGGAAGATTTTCCAGTTAGGTTAGCATTTTGCAGACGGCTCTTAAACATGCACGACAATGATCCAGAGATATTAAAAAGAATTTTATGGACTGATGAGTGTACTTTTCAACGTGGTGGTTTTTGGAATTCCAAAAATTTCCATTGGTATGCACGAGAAAACCCTCATGTAACAATCGAACGAGGTCACCAGCGTAGATTTTCCATGAATATTTGGATGGGATTATACATGAAAAATCCTTGTTTAGTAAGTGTACTTTATGTTTAATATAATAGTATATTACACACCGACAGAAGTAAAGTAAGAAATGTCTCAGATCACATGTTATTGTTGGCCGAGGCTTCGCCTCGGCCAACAATTGCATGTGATTTGATGATTTCTTATTTACTTCCCGAGGAGTGTATGCTATTTTTTTGCTCGACGAAGGCAGAAAGTGGCAATTTCGTTTAGCGCAGCGGGCCGAAATTTGACGCTTTCTGCCCGTCGAGCAAAAAATTAAATTTCCGTATTTGATTGTGATGAATAGGGCTTAGAATCTGGTTTTGCTAAAAGAGAGAAAAAAGATAGCCTGAGCCAAGCTTTCTGATTGGCTGTAAAAAATTTGATATTTTTTTGTTAATTAATAATTAAAAATGATCCGAAGATGGATTTTTTTTATTTAAAAAAACATGTAAATTGTAGCTTAATTCCTTAGCTTTCAGATGCATTCCACAGAAATTTAATATCTCGACGCGTTCAAAATTTATTTGAAAGTGATGTACTTAGAGTGTGAAATTTTCAAAATCTAAAGCTGACTCAGCTTGTCGACTTAAGTCGGAATATAGTAAAATTTTTTAAAATTTGTGTCATGAGGACCGATGCAATAGTTAGATTTCTATGAAATCTATCAAAAATAAGACAAAAATTCAAGACAAAATTTTAAAACAAAATTTTAAGACAGAATTTCAAGACAAAATTTCAAGACAAAATTTCAAGACAAAATTTCAAGACAAAATTTTAAGACAAAATTTCAAGACAAAAACTAAAACCAAATTAAATTTTAATTTGTGGTTGATATTTTATTTCTCAACCAATAATCAACTGTTATTTCTACAGGGTTGAACTTGGGGCAATATCGCGTTACTGATGCCATAAGGGCGTATCTCGAAAAAAATACCCTTGAAAAGCCATAAGGGCGTATAAAAAAATTTTTTCCGGAAATCGACGTAGCTATGCCTGAAACGGGCAGAAATGCAAAAAAATATTTTGGTACGCCCTTATGGCACCCAGGGTACCCCGGGTGCTATAAGGGCGTACCAAAAAATTTCAAAATTTGAAAAAAATTTTTTTTCGTCTTTTTTACGCGTTTCAAGCAAAAATACGTTGTTTCCCGAAAAAAAAAATTTTTGGTACGCCCTTGTGGTTCCCAGTAGGTACCCGGGTGCCATAAGGGCGTATAATGGGCTAATACGCCCTTATGGCATTTGTAACGCGATATACTTTTGAATTTCTTTGCAGAAAATTATTTCTCCATAATCCTCAATAATCCTCATTCCTCACTCTGCTACTAGCTTCAGTTGATTACGAGAAACAAAAAAATATCAAATTTTTTATAGCCAATCAGAAAGCTTGGCTCAAACTCTTTTTTCTCTCTCTTTTAGCGAAACCAGATTCCTGGCCCTAGTTGATGAATTACAAGTACTTCATGCCCTTAAATTCTTCTTGATAGGTCGGACCTTTCGAATTCCAAGAAAATCTGGATCAAAATATTTATACAGACTTTTTGGATCGCCGTTTGCGTGCTCTATGTTTAAGATCTGGAATAACACCTCGTCAATATGACCACATGTGGTTCTAACAAGATGGTGCACCAGCACATACTTCTGGGGGGCACAAGCTTGGCTTTGGGCTCATTTTCCGAATCGTTTCATTGGTAGAGGAGGAATTTTGGATTGGCCGCCTCGGTCACCCGACCTCAATCCGTTAGACTTTTTTCTATGGGGGTATCTTAAATCTAAAATGTATTGCTATGCCATTGACAATGAAATGGCACTACAACAACGATTTCAAGAGGCAATACAATCAGTAATGCCTGACATGATCACTAATTGTCATCGCAGCTTGTTACAACGTCTTCGGGTTTGTGTTGAACAACAAGGTGGATACGTTGAAAACTTGATCCACTAAAGATTGTTATGCTTCCAAAAATTGTTAATTTATATGTGTATATTGTTTATATACTCTCTTAAAAAGAATCAGTGGAATTTAATTGGTTCACCAGTAGAATTTCACTGATCTCAACCAGTGAATGCAATGTCACTGGTGAATCAGTGAACAAAATATCTGCGCGCATGCGTGGTGGTATGTCCGCACTGGCTGAATAAGTAAAATCCACTGATTCACCAGTGAAATTGCATTCACTGGTTGGAATCAGTGGAATTCCACTGATTTTGTTTAAGAGAGTGTGTTATCAAAAAATTAAAAACTATTCTAACCTTAAAAAAATTTTGTATTCTATATTACATACGTGTAGAATCACTTTTTATTGATCAGGTTCTTATTATTTCATAGTGAGTGAAAGGAATTAAGTCTAAATATTGACAACCTTTAAATATTAATGAGTAAAATTTGTAAAAATATTGATTAATTAAATTGTCGATAATAAACATTTTGACAGAAACGCGCAAAGCGCGTTCGATTTTCTAGTTAACATAAAAATTTCGATAAAATTTAGGCCAAAAATTAAAACAAAAATTTGAAGTACGTATGACCCAAAGTACTCGGTAATCGGTGATGCTTTACTCCGATAACAACTATATTTAGATAATTGTGACTACTGGCAGAAATTCAAATTATTTTTGTTTATCTTTTCAACTCATTTGTTTTCAGTTTATCGCAATCGCTTATATTTTTTGACATCTGTCAGATTAAAACCTCTCTTTGAGCTGTCTATCATGTTCGCACTAATTTTCTGGCCTACAGAAAAAACAAGTAGCATTATTCCGTCCACGTTAATTAATAGACGTTTACAATCAAATCACGTTACAGTTAGATGGGGGCGAAAATTTTTGTCCGCTCTTATTATTGCTGAAAACGGTAACCTTTACTTCATTTTATCTTCTTGATATTTTTCAGTTCCTTTAATCTATTTTCTTTATCAAATTTGTAGAAGACGTTAATTGGTTGGAAAGTCTTATTGTTAATACTAGTGGGATCATCACTGGTTACGAGAAAAGTTGTTTGGTAACTGATGCTTGTTCTGATTCAATCAGTGGAAATGGATCTTCTCATACTTCTCGTGTTGCTGTAGCTGCGAGCACAAGTGTCACAGCTACTCCTTCTTCAACAACCATAACGACAACAATAACAACTGCGATGGCTGCTGGTACTGATGCTGCTGTTGGTGCTAATGCTGGTACTAATTCTGCTGGTACTGGTGATACTGATGTAGATGCTGCCGCTACTAGTACTGGTGCTGGGACTGTTCCTAGCGCTGCTGGTACTAATGCTAATGATGGGGCTGATTCTGTTGCTGGTACTGATGCTGCTAATGATG